CATCACCCGTGGGGTAAAGGGTGATGTGAGTGAGAAGGAGGGTGTGGCCGAGCCGACGTCCGCCCGCCTATTCATCTCGGCTATCTGCCTCTCCATGGCTTCCAGTCGTGCGTCCTGTGTGGCCCTTCCGGGGGACACAGGGGGCGCGGCTTCGGGGGGTGACGTTCTGCTGAGCAGCCACAGCATCATGCGGCCGCCTGAAGATCTGCGCTCCTCGCCGTTGGAAACGTCGTCCAACGGCGTTGACCCTTGGGGTCTCGTCTCCCTGCGGGATCTTGCGAGGAACCGATGGTGTGAGAGCCCTGGATGCAGCGATGCTGACCCTGGTTCGCCCTCCCGTCTCACGGGAGCCTGAACCCCCACCTAGCCGCTCGTGGACTGAGGGCCGGTGGTCGCTGGATCCCGTCGTATCGTCATACGACTGCATGCGGCGTATGGGAGAGAGGGGTGTTCGCTGGGTGCTTGCAGAGTACACCTGATCTCGGGCCTCCCGCTCGTCCGCCATGCGACGCATGGTGTCTGCGAGTTCCCGCATGAGGCGGGGATCCTGCCTGGCCTCCAGGGGAATGAGGTCAGTGATTCCCCCGTTTCCTCCAGAGGTCCATATCGTTGCGGATAGTTCCGAGTTCTGGCCGCGATTCCGGCGGCTCGACTCCAGACGCTCGGAGAGATCACGCTGGTTGTTGCTTCCTGACATCGTGTTTGCTGTAGGTAGACTTGGTAGCTGTTTGGGAGAGTTTCTGGAAACTTTTTGCTCAGTTTCCCACAGACGGCGCCAGTGTTGAGGTTTATTCCTTCAACCCTTGGACCCAACACGTAAGCCCAAAGATTTCGAGTGGAGTGAGTGTGTGGATATCTAGCCCAACAACTTTCAGATGGATCAGGAAACAAGAGAAATAGCAGGCAATGTAAGTAGGTATTATTAACCTCGTAATAACTCCCCTAAATACAATCTACTTGCTAAAAAGGCACGTCGGCCGTTCGTCTTACAAGGCACTTAGAAATGCTGCAAGTAAGAATGCTGAAGCTAGTATGCTAAGAATAGAAAGTTGCCAACCCTTTACAATGAAATAAATGCTTCTATTTATACCCACCAATGGGCAGGTGGCTGTACTGACGTGGCAGCCTGTGGACCGCTGGTGTCCCAACTACCAAATCTTCAGCATTAAATGCACTTCCCGCCAGAATCTAGGTTTCCCGCCTGATTAGTGGGGACGTTCGTCCTCCCGGGAAGTGAGTTGGATTGCTCCAAGTGACCCTCGAGAGATATCGGCTGTTCGTCTCCTGGCCTTGTAGATATTCACCATGTGAACTGGGTCCCCTCCGATGACTACAGGCTTGCCCCGGGGACGTTCGTCGCCATCCCTGGTGGCCCGTGGTCCTGCTCCTTGCCCCCGTACAGCCGTTCGTCGGGATGAGTTTGCTGGGCCTGAGCCCCCAACATCAGACGTTCGTCCATCCTCAAGGGACATGGGCCTGTGGGATGGCCTGGTGTTCTAACTGGACATGCGTCTGGCAATATGGGTTAGTGGGCCGGACCTCGGCTTGGGCCCTTAACCCAACACTTCTAATTCACTTTCTTTTTATTATTTTTACATTTATAAAAATTTCTTAAATTATGTCTATAATCAATTCCAATTAAGTATGTGAATCTAATGTAGTATGATACTTTTGAAATATGAGTTGATATGACATTTTTAAATGAGCATAATATTAGTACCAAATGAGCATATTTAACTTATAAAATGAGCATGGATATGAAAATCGTAAGTTTTGTTAGTTGAATATGGAGACATTTTCTTTGAACATTGGAACTTCTCTATAAAGTATTAAAAGAATTCAATTGAGTATCGTGATCTCTGCTCATAGGTACCAAATGAGCATACATAACTTACTTAACGAGTATCGAAAAATTCAAAAACTCATTTGAAATATTTAATGTGCTCAAATATTCAATTCTGTATGCTCAATTGCTTATTTAATTTTTTTATAAAATTATTTCAAGTGAGTTGGCACAGTTGCAGAATGACTGGACCGATAACAACAACGACAAACCTCAGGCGACTCAAATTAAACAAGTCAATAGCTACAAACAATGCTTATTCCATGTACTTGGGTGGAGAAGGATGGAACCAAAATATTTTGAGGATGTGGGAGTGTATATTATACATTCGGCTGTACGGTGAGCACCGTACAGCCGGCCCAACAAGGAAAGTAACATGCCCAAGAAAAAATAGAAAAATAATTTGGTGGTATTTTTGTAATTAATATGAAAATTGTGGTTTGTGCTAAATGAGCATCTGTGTACGGTTAATCAGCAGTAGTCCAATTTTAATGAGCACCGTGTTAGTACAAGAAAGTTAATATCACAACTAAAAAACGGTGGCATTTTCGTAATATCAGTGACAATCACAGTTTTCGTTAGATGAGCATTAATACACTTTTAATGAGCATCAGACGTATTCTAATGAACATTAAGAGTCAAATATGAGTATTGTGATACATATATTATAATTTACTTTCTTTTTCTTATTTTTTCTTTTATAAAAACTCATTAAACTATATCTATAATCAATTCCTATTATCTTCAATATGCGAATCTAATGTAATATAGTACTTTTGAAATATGCATTGTTATGACATTTTAAAAATAAGCATAACATGAGTACTATTTGAGCATATGTAACTTACAAAATGAGCATAAATATGAAAATCATAAGATTTGTTAGTTGGACGTCACGACATTTTAATTGAACATCAAACCTCTTATATTGAGATGAAAACAACCCTTTTTGTTAAATGAGCATTAATGAACGTAACTTTTAATTAGCACTAGACCTATTATATTGAGTATTAGGAGTCTAATATTGAGAATCGTAATCTCTGCTTCATATCTTTTAATCCAGTCTCTTTTTATATTTTTGTTTTATAAAAAAACTTATTAAATTATATCTATAATCAACTCTTATGAATTTCACTATGCAAATCTAATGTAATATGATACTTTTGAAATATGCATTGATATGACATTTATAAAATGAGCATAACATCAATACCAAATGAGTATATGTAACTTACAAAAAAGAGCATTACACCAATATCAAATGAGCACACATACTTACAAAATGAACATCGAAAAAATTTAAAAAGCTCATTTAAAATTTCTAGTATGCTCTAATAATAAATGAGAATACATAACTTATGAAATGACCATTGAAAATGTTAAAATGAGCATTACACCAATATGCACAAATATCAAAATATGACATTTTAAATTGTTTAGTGTAATGCTTATTTTAAAATGATCATTACAAAAATACCAAATGAGCATAGATAACTTACAAAATGAGTAAAAAAAAAATTTTAAAAAATTCTTTTAAAATTTCGAATGTGCTTATATATGAATTTGTGTATGCTCATATTGGTAGAACATAAAGAACACATTTAATATACTCATAATTATTTAGAAGGTTGGAGCTTTCAATAAAAATATTATAGGAATATTATAATAAAATATAATATGTGTAATCAATAGGAAATATACATAAATTTATATGTATATTCTAATTTATCCAGTAAATTATTAGACATCAATGATATACCTAATAGTCATAATGTATATTTATGTTCCTATAATTATATTTAGTATATAATTAATCAATGCATTTCAATCATAAGACTGTGTATTATGATTTAGAAAGACATCCTATGGACTAGTATATCTTAAATCATACCCACGTTATTTATTATAGTTGAACATTGTATAAATTTTGTATATCATATTATGGGTTCCTATTGATTCTAGATTGTACCCGAAATTATGAATAAGTATGATATGAAATGTGATATTATAACATTTCATAAGTATATTCAAGTAAATTCCCATGATTATACATATAGTTGACATACCACTTCAAGAAGACAATACAATAATCGGTGGAAATAATATGTGCACAAAAGTGATTTATACATGTATAGACTTGAGATTTTGTATAAATTTCGTTGTATTGAGTATTTTAAACCTATATCTTAGATACACAATGCATTACCGTGTAGTACCGATGTTGGAACTTGCAAATTTAATACAGGACTAGAAGACTCAATTATGTCCGTGTTACCGTGTATAATGGAGATATCGTAGAATATATGCATAGAAACACTTGAGTCCTGATAGGAATCCAAAGAGATATCTTTATGGATATGTATTAAATTATTTAGGAGATCCTATATGTATCAATGAACACATATAACGAGTATAACTTACTAGTCCATTTAAAATGGACTAGTAAGTTATACTCGTTATATGTGTTCATTGATACATATAGGAACATTTGAGTTATGGAAGTATAATATATTGGGAACCCTAGGAAATTGGTTAAGCACACATGTAATGGGTAAATGGTACCTTATTTCACATGTATGTGTGTACTTAATACGAAGTGATGTTTTCTTAATTAGGCACTAGATATCTATACTAGTATTAACCACCTAGATTATGCATTGTTTAATTGAATAACAACTAAATGATATAGGACGTTATTCATAGACTCCGACATGTATATAGCCCATGATAATTATCATGTAAATGTTTATATTCTCGTATCTTGAAATTTACATATTACTCAAGTCCAAATTATAGATTTTAGGACAATCGATAAATATATATTTCAGAATGTGTAATATAGATTAACCCGTTAAATCTATAATGCTCCACATTGGGTATATCTACCTATGTTAGTGATATTTTAATCTTATAATATTAGTATATAGTTTGTATTAGTCCAATCTGATAATTAAGTAGAAATATACGTGGGCATATACGACAACTTTAGTGTAAACCCAATAATACTGAAGTCCACATTTGGTTTCTAGATTCTCCTTCAGGACTCAAGTCCAAATTATGTATAGAAAGAAAGATACATGTCATCAGTGTTTTTATATCATTCTTACACATTTCATGTGCCTTTTCCATGAAATGTGTAAGAAAATTGTTATAGAGACACGGATACATGTATGTGTTAAGTACCACAATCTAGGAGAAAATAGGGTTTGTGAATTGGGTCTACGTATACATGTCTAGGAAATATATAATGGAAATACGACACATGTGGATATTATAATACACGATTTCGTATATTATTGTGTACACATTTGGACTCAAGTCCAAATTATGTATAGAAAACTTTTATCGGGCAATGATTTAATTTTCGTTATGAAAATTATTTGCATAATTTTCGAGGGAAAACATTCTGTCAAGGACTTGTTAGTAATTCAAAATTTATAGAAATAATGGCAGGTATATTAGTACCAGCCTTTTCATTTCCATAAATGTATTATATTTTAACTTTCCCAAAAGTATGACTCGTCATCTTCCGCACAGACCTACGCATCTATTTTCTCTGCTCAGACTTTCCCTTCCGCCAAGCAGCCATCGACGCAAGACAAGCTTCTCACCTCCCAGACTTATCTCTCAAGCCATTGCCACCGCTCTCCAACCACCACCGCTCCGGCCGATTTGCTACTGTCGCTGCACCACTGTGTCTGCACCGCCGCCACACCTACGAATTTGTCTGCCGCCGCCACACCTACGAATTCGTCCGCCGCCGCCACAACTCGGACCCTTGTCTTCTTCTACTTCTTCGATTTTCTTCTATTTCAAACCGCCTTCGCCGCCTTCTCCTCGTAAAACTCGATCAGAACAAAGATCTAAATCTCTGAGCTCCTGGATTGCCGACTGCGGCCAGATCCGCCGTCATCTTCGATGGAAGTTTATCACAGGGTCACCGCGGTTGCTGGATCCGTCGTCCTTGGTGCCGCCGGTGGCGGATCTGCCGTCCTTGGTGCCGCCGGTGGCGGATCTGCCGTCCTTGGTGCCGCCGGTGCTGGATCTGCCGTCCTTGGTGCCGCCGGTGCTGGATCTGCCGTCCTTGGTGCCGCCAGTGCCAGGTCTGTCATCTCGGTAGCCGGCGGGAGTGGTCGCAGCGGGGGCGGAGGTGGTTCATGGCAAGGTGGAGGTAAGGTCTTGGACATCGATTGTGCGTGGTGCGGTGAGGCTAGGGCGGGGTGGGTATCAATAATACTATAGCAATATTGTTCAACAAACATGGGAATATATATGTATTCAAATATTTTAGGAGAAATAACAATCAAGACATGTCGACTTATTATAATGCACTGTCTAAATTATACATGGGTATCAATAATACTATAGCAATATTGTTCAACAAACATGACATATATTAAACAGTTTTTATATGTGATAAAAGCGCATTTGTAAACATATATTTGAATACATATATATTCCCATGTTTGTTGAACAATATTGCTATAGTATTATTGATACCCATGTATAATTTAGACAATCACATTCTCCTTCATAATCTAGATTAATAGTTCCAATCTATATATTGCACATGACTATATCACAATTCGGTTGATATTCATGTTGTATACAAGTAACTATAATATGGATCAAGTCACTATACACATATATTTAGAGAAATATGTACACATGATCACATAGATAATACATTTAGTAACTATATTAGGACAATAATTGTTACTCAGAAATATGATTTGAATTAAGTCCAATATAACATGATTTACAAATGATCTCTCATATGTAACACACTAGATTGTATAGGTAATTATGGATATATGTATAATAGGTTGTCGTATTTTAGGTAACACCATGTGTTCCAATAAGATACATTGTCTAGACGCCCAATCATATTTGCACGTCTAGACAATATTAATCAATCAAAATACATAAATTGTATAAAACACGAAATTATAACCCAGTTTAACTAAAATAATATATTGTATAAATTTAATCCATAATTTATATAGGAACCGACATAGATCAATCTAATACATTCGTTGTGTAGGAACATGTCTTGAGGATTTTCTATGTATCAAATTATTTCCTATATATCAACATACGGATTATAATTTCGTTGTCGTATGCACAATCTAGGCCAATTATATCACGGAGATTGGACTAGATTGTGATCTTAGACAAGTGTTCATTACTCATAATCCACTAGATTATGTATAATAGACAGTGCATTATAATAAGTCGACATGTCTTGATTGTTATTTCTCCTAAAATATTTCCTATACATAAAATATATAGGATTTTTTCCTATGTATTACAATTATATCAGTGCATAAGACATGTATAGAACATTGTGTTAGACGAGCCATGTACTTTCCTATAGGACAATATTCGTATGATACTAAAATTTTGCATTGAGTTCCTATATCATAAATACACATTTCTCCTTCAGCACTTAAAGTATATCACAATAGAGTTCACCCGGATGTATTATACATAATGATGTCCTATAGACAACTGAAAATACACTTTTATATAAATGTTTATGTATATTAGACTATAGGGTGTATATAATGTCCACATTGCCATGATCGATAGTTCCACTTAGATATGGCAATTATATGTCTAAGTGGACTTTACATATCAATGTGGAGACATGTTAAATGCATCAATTTAACGATTTAATTTCTAGAAAGAACCTATATACCTGGCGTATATACCAATTTATAGTAATACATTATTGTGATACATGAAGTTTTGATATCACCAATGTTGTAATACTTGGACTGATAACATCGAAATAATACTAGGACATTATTATAAATTGGAAATTACTTAATGTATCTATATCATATATTTCGTAACTTGTGTACATAAAATCCTAATATTTAAATGTATCTATAATAAACTATGAATACCAAATTATGATTATTAATTGGAAAGTTGAATTATGGTAGATTTGGTATACTTATATGTAATTGGGTTCCTACATTTCCATCTATCGGAATGCACACAAGTGTATATTATAACTTCATATTTGTTCAATGAAGTATTTATGTTAGGCAAGGTACACACTGAAATTACGTTGGGATTCGGATTGTCCTATAAGGTTTACGTGATTTCATAAATATGACAATATCAACGTGTTTACAAAATCTATAAATGATATACTATATGTATATAATATATACATTAAACTATAACGACAGATGTTGATTTAGTGCACATGACATAAATATAATATTACTATTGTAAATGGAACATGTGATATATTTCGTTATGTGCTATACATTAGTCTATATACACGTGTATATATTAGGATAAACTCCTTTCGAAAAGTGTTACATAAACTCAATAATGTTCATATCGTGTGACACTTATTTTATATATAGTAACATATATAGTTTATGATATAGGAACCCAGCAATATATTTACGTTCACTTCACTTCATTACATGCATAGTTATATACACTAGTATTTTTCTATATACACCCATCCAATATAATTAATGACTACATTCAGATGATAACAAGAGATTTAGGAATGTCCTAGTTATCCTATATTACTAAATCATAATACGCATATATGTCACCTAATTTCGTTGTATAAATACCCATAGTTTAACCATACTATAGTTGCAGATATTCCTTTATTATGCAACTAAAAGTGGATTTTCGAGTTGCATTGAGTTCCTATATCATAAATACACATTTCTCCTTCAGGACTCAAGTCCAAATTATGTATAGAATGAAAGATACATGTCTTCAGTGTTTTCGGGTTTACTAAATCAACCGAGTAACGGACATTGGCCTAGATTGTGCATACGACAACGAAAAATGGATTTTCGAATTGCATTGGGTTCCTATATCATAAATACACATTTCTCCTGTAGTATATATTGTGAGTTGGTATACTCCCTCCGTCCTATTTTACCTGTCCTACTTTCCTTTTTGGGTTGTCCCAAAATAAGTGTCTCCTTTCCTTTTTTGGAAAGAAATATGTGGTCTACATCATTTCACTTTATTATACTCGAATCTCAACCACAACTTTTACTTTTTCAATCATTTCATTAATAACCGTGCCGAGTCAAACTAAGACACATAAAATGGGACGGGGGTAGTACACAATAGCATATTTATGAACCGATTGTGCATATTCCAACCATGGGATAGACTATGTATCCCAGTGTATAGACAAAATATGACAATGTATTGAAATGTTGAGATACACAATTTATCTTGGTGTAGTACACCCAATATCACGTACACTGGGTTATATGCAACTGTATAATTTATTTGTCGTTATATACTGAAATTTATACTATACTAATATTTACTATGCACTAATTTCCTATTAGTATTCACAAAAAATGGCCTAGTCCGATCCGTTACACACTTACACTCCCGTGTTTCTATAATTTGATATCTATTTATACTGTAATAGACATGTTTATGAACGGTAAACATATTAAAAAGTGTACTTTCTATATCATAAATTATATGATTAGAAATATAGAAACTAATTTCTATGTATTTACTATACATAGTAAATGTTTCAAATAATCCACAATCTTGATAGATTGTTTTACATTTCTTATGTCGGGTATTATCTATAGTTGATATATACATTATTTGAGACATTTCAATATAGAACAATCATATATTATTGATTGGCAGACATGTGGATAACAACATACATGTATATACACAATTAGCTTTTCCTAAAATTTACGTGGAAATTTTATGATATACTTTGTGATATATACTGGTTTTATAGAAATATAAAGTGGATGTTACTCGTATATAGTCTAAATGTATATTGTTTCGAATATAATTTATATACTATAGGTTATATGAAATATAGTGTATTTACTAGTGTTTTACCCCGGGCGAAAGTTCTGAATGTTTGAATACTTCATAAAATATATATTTTGTAGAATATAAAAATAATTAATCATTTTACTTCAAATAAATTTTTGTTAATTGTGAATAGTAATTTAACTAAACGGAATATATTAAAAAGTAACATTGTAATGTAACACCGCACATTACATTGTAACCAAACATCACATTGTTAGGTTTAAATTGGGAAACCTCTTTATAAACGACATTTATTGTCTTGGTGAAGAAATTTGTTTTTTTGAACCTACATATGAATATCTTAAGATATCTTTACGCATTACTCTTGGTTTTGCAATGTACAATTCTTTAATGAAAAGAAAAATTCCCGGGATATGACTAAAACAAAGTGAGTTTCTCAAAATGTGAGTAGTTATGTTTTTTTTCCCAAAGTATGAGTGAAAATATATATAAAAAAGAAATTTTCGTTATATTAAATTTTTGAAGGACGGAAATACCCTTTTTCTTAAAAAATGCATTTTACACTACTTACGTCCGGGTAAAAATAATGCACTTTATGAAAGAGTCATTGCACAACATTTATTGCACTTTATGTTGTGTTCACGGCACAAGATTTAATGCATTTCATGCAATTAAGTTATGGCACTTCAGTTTATGGGTTTTTGTAGTTTTGATAACTTTAGTTTTTACGTTTAATTAAATATAATGCACTTCATGCGAGAGTTATTGCACAACATTAAAAAAATTGTTAGGATTTCATATACTTTTTCATTTTAAATTTGATAATCGCACTTTATGTCAATGTTAATGCGCTAATTATTGCATTTCTTATCATAATCACATTATACATGGTCATATCATTGCACTTCTTGTACCAATCATTGCACTTCTTGTGATATTCACGGAATTCAATACAAATTATTCATTGCACACGATCTTCAATCGTCTTCAACCTAGGGTTCATCTTCAACCTTGGGTTCGCCTTCAACCTCGACCACCTTGGTTGAAGAATCTGAGTTGTTGGAGCGGCAGTCCAACGCCATTCTTTGAGAACATTAATTCCCAACCCCAATTTCAAGAAATACAAAAAGAAAAAAGGAGAAGGGGAAGGAGGCAACCATGCGGCGGGTCTGCGGTTGGTGAGCGGCGGCGAACGATGGTTGTGCGGCCGCCGGCTAGATGGCGGACAATACATGGACGTCGCGCAGCGCCTTGGAGCCCAGGTAGAGCGGACGATTGCACTAGCTATCGACGATTTACACCGAGATCGCAGTTTTGTCCAAGACGGCGGCGTTAGACAGTGGGTGGCGGCGCTGGACGTACTGTGGGCGGAGACTAGGTAGCGAGCGGCAGTTGGGCAGAGGGGCGGCTGCGCGAGTGAGCGTTGGAGGTTGTATCTAGGGTTGTAGAATATGAATAGGAGGTTAGAGTTTTATAGGGATAAGCTAAAGGGTGCTTTTGTCCAAAGAAATTATTTATTAATTATTAATTACGAATTTTAATTAATTGTTATGAAATGTATATTATTTTGGGGAAAAAACTAGTTAGGTCCTAGATTGGGAAAGTGGGAGAGTTTTAGTTATATGGGGGATAATTATATCTTAATGAAACTTCTCTTTCAAGGTATAAATCATATTTTATGTCAGACCTTTTTTTGGCAAAATTTGTTTCTTTTGGACATATGAATATGTCAAGATATCTTTACGCATTACTCTTGATATTGCAATGTACAATTGATCATTAATGAAACTTCTCTTTCAATGTATAAATCATATTTTATGTGAGACCTTTTTTTGGCAAAATTTAGCCTTGACTTTTATTGATCATCATTGCAAAGCTTATCATCATACGGAGTAATAAATTGCTTTATTCGAAATTGAATAAAGTTGTCATATGGTGACAATGAGATTTTTAATAAATAAACTTTATTTTTCATAACTTTTCAAATTATGACTTGTCATACTTGTTTTTTCATTGGTTATGACCAATTATATTCTATTTGAATAAAACTTATGCATGATTAATATTCCTCAATAACATTATCGGGGCTCCGATTTTCAAATGAAGGACATGGTTGGGCAATCCAACCATTGAAGCACTATTAAGATCATATTCGACATTGTACATATCAACATGGAAAGTAGTACTGGTGTGTGAAGGAATAATATTAATTGAACTAAGATATGTAACTTCTAGGCCATCGATCAACGATAGCAAGTAGTTAGTTACTCATGATGTTTGTTGGTGTTTCATCTAAAATCTTAGAACATGCCTCATGTATCAGCACAGCTTCATCCCATATAATCAAAGACGCGGCATGCAACAATTTTGTCTTCGCACTTCCTTAATGAATATTGTAGGTAGTGCGACAATATTTATGGGAGTAGGAAATTAAAAGATGAGTTGGAATTAGCTTTAGTAGTAGAAGACGTAGATGGAGTTTATTTAACAATATATATATATATATATATATATATGTGTGTGTGTGTGTGTGTGTGTGTGTGTGACTACTAATAATTACTTGCACTGTGCATTTTCTACCAATTTTTAGACCTCAACGTGCTCTTGTGATTCTATTTGTTGGAAC